GCAACAATGAATGAATGGAATCCCAAAATCTCTGTAGATGTTCATTGAAATGAAAAATAAACAACCTAAATTTAAAAAAAAACAAAAACAAAAAAAAACAACTGACCCTCCAAAGGGTTTCCAGAGGCTATAAATTGCAAAGGAGGAGACTGCCTATCTTTCTCTCAGAGGAATCTGACACACTGTCTTAAAATTATGACACATTTGCCTAAATGGAATTATTTGTCCCAAATGGTTTACCAGAGAGAGTACAGAAAACAAGTGTTAGTTTCCTTTATATATAGTAATATTTTGAAAGCTAAAAGAAAAATTATTTTTTATGCTTGTGAAGTCATGAGCTCTTTACACCACTATGCATTTATTTCCTTCATAAGCAATAAGCAAGAAAAAGAGAAATTTCAATCATCTGGGGGTTTGTGGTCAGTGAAATTCTGGACCAGAATGAGGGAGCCTAGCTATTAAAAATATTCACTGAGAAGGCTTTGGTGGTGTGGTATGAAGGGAAGTTCCGGCCAACCTAAAGGCTCTGGTGTTTTTAATGCAACAGCAGCTCTGAGAAAGACGGGTAAGCTCTTCCCATGTAATAGCCTTCCAAGGGTCAGCCAAGAGGCAGCCCTGACTCTACGGCAATGAGTTCTTTGATTGTTGTTTGCTTGATTTTAGGGTACTTCTCTCCAAAGTCTCACACACTTTGTGCATGTTGTCAGGAGAGGCCAAGTCATCAGAAAAAGACATCTTGAAAAAGGCAAAGGAAGACTCTCAATGAGATGGGCTGACACAGCGGCCATAACGCTCAGCTTGAGCATATCAGAGATCATGAGAATGGCGCAGGATAGGACAAGGTTCAGATGCATTGTTCATAGGGTCGCTTTGAACATCTAACAGCAGCAACAGTAACTCACGCCACTAATTCTCCACACGATAGACAGACAAGAGATTGAGGTTGTTAACAATTACAGCTTCCTTGGCTCCACAATCAACATTCTTGGCACTTCCAGTCAGGAAATCAAAAGATGAATTGCATTGGGGAAGTCTGCTGTCAGAGACCTCTCCAAAGTGCTAAAGAGCAATGATGTTAGTCTAGAGACTAGGGTGTGCCTGATCCAGGCCATGGTCTTCACAATTAGAGCTGGACAATGACTAAGAATGATAGAAGAAGAAGTAATGCCTTTGAGCTGTGGTGCTGGAGAAGTCTTGAACATACCATGGGCTGCCAAAACAACAAACAGGTCTGTCCTGGAGAGAGTGAAACCAAGTTGTTCCTTAAAGGCAAGGATTTTCAAGCTCCATCTCACATACTCTGAGCATGTGGCAAGGAGGGACCAGTCCTTGGAGAAGGCCATCACTCTTGGAAAGGTGGAGGGACAACAATGGAGAAGAAGACTCAGATGAGATGGATTGACAGTGATGGGGGGGTAATGGGTATGTATGAGTCAGTGAGATTAGCTCAGGACAGGAGAGCTATTCTGCACAGGGTCACTAGGAGTCACAAAAGACTCAATGGCACATAAAAACCACCACCACCACCACCACTGGGATCAACAACATTTAATATTCTGAATTGATGTTATGATTCTATCATGTTGATACCGTCATGCCCCCATTTTAAGATAAGAAAACTGAGGATGAGAGAGTTTAAAATTTGTCCTAGGTCATACAAAAAACCCAAGGCAGAGATGAAATGACAACCAGCTCTTTCCTCTAATGCCTATCCCTACCTCAGGGTAGTGACCGCAGGGCCACCAGGCAGGCACTGTGAGAAATCAGATCTTTACTACGAAGCCCCAGGCCCTGACCTTTGGTCCGAATGTAGAGGAGTCCTTCCGCTAGCAGAGGGTGGTGGCAGCTGGAAAAAAAGTGGTTCCCACTGTTTGTCAACTGAAGCCCTTTGCCCCAGGATAGAGCATGAAGTAACTTATTAACATCACTACTGACCAAGATAAATAGCCTGATGCTACTGGAGGAGGGGGGCTTGGAGTTCTGAGAGGTCCCCTCCCCTCTCTACTCTTCTCTGCCTCTGCTTTGCCATCTGTCACATTCACAGGACAGAGCAGACATCTCGAGACATCTTTCCTGGTGGCAAAAGCCAAGAAGAGACTTGTCCAAGACCCCTGGACAGGCTCTGAACTTGAAGCCAATGTCCTTAAGGGCACAGCTGCAAGAGTTCAGATTTCACTTGGTCAGTGAAATCACTGCATCCTTCTATCCTTGAATCCCTCAACCTCTCTCATCCTATTTTCCTCCTCTAGGACTCCCCAACCTTTCAAATGCAGGATACAGCTCCATTTGCCTACACTGCACCCCATCTGCTGTCTGTCTCCTCCTTTGGAATTGCCCCAGAAGCCCACCCTGTTCGGAAAGAACCGAAAAATGCATTTAAGCCTTGAGTTGCAATATTAGAAGATGCCATAGACAGACTCTTGAATGATCCAGGAAACATCAAAAGAAGTTGGGAAGAGAACACACTGAGTCATTGTATCAAAAAGAACTGGTCCACACTGAAGAATTTCAGGAAGTACCCTACCAACAAAAGCCAAAGTTAACAAAGGTCAAACGATGTTGAAGAAACTAACAAAAATAAGGCCCCAGGAATAGATGGAATAATGAGTGACATGTCTCAACAGACAGATGCAGCCCTGTATGTGCTCACCAGTCTATGCTAGGAAATTTGGAAGACAGTCGCCTGACCAACTGACTGGAAGAGAACCATATTAGTTTCCATATCCAAGAAAGGTAATCCAATAGAATGTGGAAATTATTGAAGAGTATCATTAATATCACAGGCAAGCAAAATATTGCTGAAGATCATAAAAAAATGGCTGGAACAGCACACTGACAGGGAACTGCCAGAAGTTCAAGCTGGGATTAGAAGAGACCATGACACCAAGGGTATCATTGCTGTTATCAGAAGGATCCGGGCTGAAAGAAAAGCCCAGAAGAATGTGTCTGTGTTTTATTGACTATGCAAAGGCATTTAACTGTGTGGATCATTATAAATAATGGCTAACACTGGGAGGAACGGAAATCCCAGAACACTTAATTGTGTTCATATAAAATCTATACTGAGATCAAGAAGCTATTGTCCAAACAGAACAAGGGAACTCTGCATGGTTTATAATCAAGAAAGGAGTGTATCAGGGTTATATCATTGCTCCATACCTATTCAATCTGTATGCTGAGCAAATTATTTGAGAAGCTGGACTCTATGAAGAAGAATGTGGCATCAAGATCGGAGGAAGACCCATCAATAACCTGTGTTATGAAGAAGACACAATCTTGCTTGCTCGAAGTGAAGAGGATTTTTGAAGCACTTGTTGCAGAAGATCAAAGAATACAGCCTTCAATGTGGATTGCATCTCAATGTCAAGAAAACAAAAATTCTTACCACTAGATCAATAGGCAACATCATGATTGATGGAGAAATTATTAAAACTGTCAACAAATTCTGGATCCACAGTTGACACCTTTGGTACCAGCAGATGGGAAATCAGGAGATGTACTGCACTGGCAAAGTCTGTAGTCAGGGACCTCTCCACATTGTTGAAGAACAATGATGTCATTTTGAGGACTAAGGTGCATCTGATTCAGGCCATGGTCTTTCCAATCATTCGCTATGTATTTGAGAGCTGGACAGTGAATAAGGATGACAGAAGAATTGATGCCTTTGAGCTGTAGAGTTGGAGAAGAGCACTGAACATCCCATGGACAGCCAAAAGAACAAACAAGTCATCCTCGGAG